TTTGGCCTCAGCGCCATGTTCACAAGCCAGCCAGTGGGAGTCGCATCTACGCATACATTTAGTACATTTCACATTATCCCCAGTGTTTTTAGTACGGTACTTTTAACTCAAAATAAGTCACCATGGCCGCAAGAAAGCTTCTAGTGCCATCCCTGTGGCAAAAAGGGGGAGAATTAGTGAGAATTAGTCCTTGGAGGCAAAGAGGGGAATGTATTGAGAGTATAGTTTTACCAACGCTCTTATATGGGTGTGAAGCATGGGTGATGAATGTTGCAGCGAGGAGAAGGCTGGAGGCAGGGGAGATGTCATGTCTGAGGGCAATGTGTGGTGTGAATATAATGCAGAGAATTCGTAGTTTGGAAGTTAGGAGGAGGTGCGGGATTTACCAAAACTGTTGTCCAGAGGCTGAGGAAAGGGGTTTTTTGAGGTGGTTTGGACATGTAGAGAGAATGGAGCAAACAGAGTGACTCAAAGTGTATCATCTGTAGTGGAAGGAAGGCGGGGTAGGGTCGGCCTAGGAAAGGTTGGAGGGAGGGGGTAAAGGAGGTTTGTGTGCGAGGGGTTTGGACTTCCAGCAGGCATGCGGAGCGGTTTGATAGGAGTGAATGGAGACAAATGTTTTTAATACTTGACGTGCTGTTGGAGTGTGAGCAAAGTAACATTTATGAAGGGGTTCAGGAAACCGCAGGCCGGACTTGAGTCCTGGAGATGGGAAGTACAGTGCCTGCACTCTGAAGGAGGGGTGTTAATGTTGCAGTTTAAAAGCTGTAGTGTAAAGCACCCTTCTGGCAAGACAGTGATGGGGTGAATGATGGTGAAAGTTTTTTCTTTTTCGGGCCACCCTGCCCTTTGGGGGGAATCGGCCAGTGTGAAATAAAAAAAAAAAAATTATTAAAGAAATTGAAAAAAAGATTAAGGAAATGTGTGCAAAGTGGCTTGAGGTGCAAACCTTTATGGATGAAATCACCCTCACACAGCTATTGCAAGCTGTGCTGGTGACTATTACAATGACAATGTTGTGAACCACTTTTAGACAAATCATAAAGGAATGAGAGTACAGGCCTCTATGGACAGATATGTTGTGTGACAGAAGTCCACTGACTCTCAAGCTGGTCCAGTTGGGATTAAAAGAAGAAAGGGTTACAAGTAACCCCAAAAAGGACTTGATACCTCAATCCTAATGGAAGGGGATTCCCCTTCTAAACATAATTTTGACACTCCCCCCCTCCTCCCATCCCATCAATCATCACCAATCTTCACTAAAGTAAGTGTCATGTATTCAATTTGGGTTAGTAGAGTACTACTTACCGTGCATGTCTTCTTCAGTTTGTGTGAAATTAAACTTAATATTTCATGCGGTAAAACTTTTTTTTTTCGTACTTTGGGGTGCTTGTACTGATAAAGCACCATCAGTGATAGGTAAAGTAGCTGGGACTGCAACTTTGATTGAAATCTTTTAAGTCAGCCTCTACAAAAATATCACTGAATTATACACCAAGAGTCACTTATGGAAAAACCTTAAATTTGCAGCATGTTATTTTCCCAGTTGTGAAATGCATGAATAATAAAGAGCAAGATGAATAAACAGAAGAGAATTTAGAGAATATTGTGAATTGTTAGATTTTGGGAAAAATGGTGATTTAACCTTCATTGTGAGGTGCAACTGACTTTTTAGAGGACAGGTTCTCATTAGATTTTAGAAACTGAAAATTAATGTTTTTAATTTTTTTAAAAGAGAAGAACGAGCTGCCTGAGGAAAGAGCCTTTTATGTGATAACAAATGGTATTTGATTTAGCATTTTTAGTTATGTTACCAGCCACTCAATGATCTAAATTTGAAACTGCAAGGCAAGAAAAAATTGTTTCCTAGCTTAGTAAATTACTATATCATGCATTCAAATGAAAAAAAACCCCCATTAAAAATAGGAATTGAGAATTTTTTCCACATTTAAAAGAACAGTGAAGTGCAAAAAAAGAAAATTTTAAGAATACTACATATTGAAAAAAATCAGATTTTTGCTAAAGAAAAATACTGCACCTCAATTTTATAAACCCCCATTTTTCAATGAAAAAAAAAATCCTAAAGATACCGTAACATACAAATGGAACTTAATGTTTTTGAAAACAAATTCATTTTTGAAATGAAATTTGATAGCTTCTTCGTCCCAAATGCTTCACATAATTTTTGGCGTTCATTCCCATGTGAACATTTTCCAGAACAAAAAAATTTTCCCAGATTACATTTTCATTTTGGAACAAAGTACAGATACAAACAAGCATTTTCATCCATGAAATTTATTAAAAACAAACTGAGGATATTAAAAAGAATTCTCTGCTGCTCTCAATAGCAAATTTAAAAACTCCAAACAATTACAACTTGGCAAAATCAAGAAACTCTAAAAGTTTTCTCAAGTATCCGGGGTTACTCTTTTTTTTTTTTTTTTTTTTTTCAACAAGTCGGCCGTCCCCCCACCGGGGCGGGTTACCCAAAAAAGAAAAAATCCCCAAAAAGAAATACTTCATCATCATTCAACACTTTTTCCCAAATCACACATTCACTGTTTTTTCAGAGGGGCTCAAAATACAACAGTTTAAAACAACACATAAAAAGTACACAACATATCCCTCCAAACTGCCAATATCCCAAACCCCTCCTTTAAATGCAGGCATGTATTTCCCCCATTTCCAGGACTAAAAGTCCGACATAAAAAATAACCGTTTCCCTGAACCCCTTCACTAAAATACCCGCCACACTCCAACAGATCGTCAGGTCCCAATTCCCATTCGTCCCTTCACCCCTATCAACACCCACGCACGCTTGCGGAAGCCAACCCCCTTGCCCAAAAACCCCTCCTTTACCCTCTCTCCCCAACCCTTTCGGGGGAGACCCCTACCCCCCTTCCCCCCCATAGATTTAAAATGCTTTCCATGTCATTCTATTTTATCCATTCTCTCTAAATGCCCAAAACCCACCTCAAAAACCTCTCTTCTGCCCTCGACTAAACTTTTATTAACTCCACCCCTTTTTTCCAATTTCCACACCCAAATTTTCTGCAAATATTTACCCCAAACATTGCCCTTAAACAGGACATCTCCACTCCCTCCAACCATCTCCTCGCTGCTGCAGTTACCACCCAAATTTCACACCCATAAAAGAGTTTGGTACTACATACTTTCTACATTCCCTTCTTTTGCCTCCATAGATAACTTTTTTTGACTCCACATAACCTCAACGCACCACTCCCCTTTTTTTCCCTCAAAATTCTATGTTTTAACCTCATCCTTCAAAAATCCACTCCCGACCGTCAACTCCCAAGTATCTAAAAACATTCATTCTTCCATACTCCTCCTCCCCAAATTTGTTTCCAATTTTCTTTATCTAAATCATTTGATACCCTCATCCCCTTACTCTTTTCTATTTCACTTCAACTTTCTCCCTTTACAACCATTCCCAAACTCATTCCACTAACCTTTGCAATTTTTTTTTAAATCTCCCAAAGCACAGTACATCACAAAAAGTAACTGTTCAATTCCCATTTTAATTTGATTTCCCCCTCCCCAACACTCTAGCATTTACTTTTTTAAAACCCCCCTCTAAAATATATTAAAAAACTATGGGGACTTACACATCCCCGTCTAAACCCACTTTTACCGGAAGTAGTTCCCTCTTCTACACACCCAACCTGAGCCTCACTACCCTCATAAAAACCTTTACAGCATTTTATAACTTTCCCCCTATTCCATAACTTCAAAATCTCCACATTCTCCCCCAAACCACTCACATATGCCTTTTCTAAATCATAAATGCAATAAAAAATTCCCCTACCTTTATCTAAATACTATTCACATATATGCTTCAATGTAAACACCCCTACCCACTCTGAAACCTCCTTGCTCATCCGCAATCCTACATTCTGTCTTACCTCTAAGTCTTTCAATTATAACCCTACCGTACACTTTCCCTGGTATACTCAGTAAACTTATTCCTCTATAATTTTTACAGTCTCTTTTGTCCCCTTTCCCTTTATATAAAGGGACTATACATGCCTCCATCAATCCCTAGGTACCTTCCCCTCTTTCATACATTTATTAAACAAAAGTACCAACCACTCCAACACTATACCCCCCCCTGCTTTTAACATTTCTGTCATGATCCCATCAGTTTCCAGCTGCTTTACCCCCTTTCATTCACGTAATGCCTCACGAAACCTCCCCCACACTTACATTCGCTCTTCTTCACTCCTAAAAGATGGTATACCTCCCTGACCAGTGCATGAAATTACTGCCTCTCTTTCTTCCTTAACATTTAAAAGTTCCTCAAAATATTCTCGCCATCTACCAAATTACCTCCATCTCCCCATCTACTAAACTCCCCTACTCTGTTTTTAACTGGCAAATCCATACTTTCCCTAGGCTTTCTTAACTTGTTTTAACTCACTCCAAATTTTTTCTTATTTTCATTAAATTTTTTGACATGCCTCTCCCACTCTATCATCTGCTCTCCTTTTGCACTCTCTCACCCACTCTCTTTCCCTTTCTTTTTATTCTCCATATACTCTGCTCTTCTTATAACACTTCTGCTTTGTAAAAACCTCTCATAAGCTACCTTTTTCTCTTTTATCACACCCTTTACTTCATCATTCCACCAATCACTCCTCTTTCCTCCTACCCCCATACTCTAGGTATATTAAATCATTTTATCTAGAAATGCCAAATATGTCCATATTAACATATTTTTAAAAACGATGGGGTTCAAATGTGAAAAAAATGCCAAATATGTCCATATTAACATATTTATAAAGAAATGAATGGGGGGTACAAGCATGAAAAAATTGTCACATGAATGCAAAAGGTTGCCACCGCTGCTTAGGCGATCAGATACATTACTGTACATAATTTTTAAACTCAATATGATGTCCCTAGTTAAAAAAAAAAAACTCATCTTTCCATGACAGACAATAATTTTAAGTAATTTATGTAATTTATTTGATATCCAACAGACCAAATACATCATGTACTGTTTAAACATGGCACTGCTGTTGCTGTCACCACAAAAAACAAACACAAAGTAAGTGCCTGCTATTATATTTAGTTATTGTGTATATTCCTCCCCTAGGATTTTTCATATACAGTATATGATTAAAATCACATTAGCATGTGCACTTTATGAAATAATCCTGTATAATTTTCTTCAGGAAGACAGAAGGATTTTCATGTTCATCATGTGAGAAAAAGTTTTCCTCTTTTATTAAAACTTCAAATGCATGAGATCAAGCATACGGTATGTACTACTTTTTTTTTTATACTTGTTTTCTGTATTTTTATATGTAGATCTTTTATAATAATACAGTATATAGTAAAATGCCAACTGCAAGCGAACTTAAACCCTCAGTTCATTGACATTCTTCTGCACAATATATTCCATGATTTATATATTGGCTTTATTGTATGTTGAGGTATCAATCAAGTAATCAATCATCATTTAATTTAATTTCCACATGGCACATCATTTGTGCAAAATTGGATGACCTTACATCTCTCACATGGATAACCCCTTAGTTATGCAGAGCATTTTGAGCAAGCTTAATCCATTAAACTGTCCAAGTGTAGACCTACGTTCGCACTGCCAGTGCTGCGAATATTTCGAAAAAAATTTCAAAATTTTTTTCAATTTTTTTTTTTCTTAAAAATATTTGGAGTGCTGGCAGTGAGAATGTAGATCTACATTTTGGACAGTTAATGGTTAAGCTTCCTCAAAATGTTCTGCATAACTAAGGGGGTTTCCATATGAAGAGGTGTAAGGTCATCCATACTATGTATAATTGTATTTATGTGTACCTGTGAGACAGAGATAGACAGAAACAGAGAGATAGAGACATAGATAAAAACAGATATGAACAGACAAAGGAGATAGAGACAGCCAAAGTCAAATCAGCTTCCCACCCACCAATCCGACCAGCCCTGGCACCCAACCAGCCAGCCTGCCGAACACTATTACATATGTTTCAGAATTGTTTCTTTACTTAGGGCATAAGTTATAGGACATCTGGCAGGATGACACACCAGGCTATCAAAATTGAAAGGATGTTGCACAAATGTTGCACATGGGTATTATCAAGGTTTTTTTATTTTCTAAACCACTTGTGGCCACATCCATTTCAAAGCCACTAAACTCAGGGGAGTATTAATACGACATGGCATCAGTAAAATCCCGGGTGTTTGCTGTGCTGTTTGCTCTAGCTGGCGCTCAATTGAACTGGTGCTCCCAAAAGGGTACTAAGTGGCCCCAGATTTTTTTAATACTGCACACACCTTTCTATGCTGACCAGAATCTCGGGCCCAAAATCATGCCAGATTTGTAAAGGCAGGAAAAATAAAACATTGATCTATGTTGGAGCACTAGCGGTAAGAACGTAGATCTACGTTTGGACAGTTAAGGGGTTAAATTTGGAAGGACTATAATATTTTACATAACATATGTGTATACATAACAGAATTAATTTTCACAATAAATAGATTACATCAATATAAACTAATGTATATGAAGCAGATAAAATCATAAGTTCCCTTACATGGAAATAAGAACACTATAGATTATACTATATTAAGATTATTCCATTAATTCAAAATAAACTTCTAATAAAATTCCAACAAGAGTGAAACTAGTTACCTGTTTTAAAACCCTTTCACTGTCGGCGCCATATAGGTACAAGCCAGTTTTTGGTGACATATTAGTACGCCAAATTCTAGATGCTTCAAATCTAGCGTGAGTAACCTGGTAGACCTACAAGTGAGAGAATGGGTCTGCATGGTCAGAAATGCACAGTATATAAAAAATTGGGGGGGGGCAGTGGTGCATTTGGGAGTCCCATTTCAGTAGGCCTTGTTTACCATGCTTTGTGGTAAGAAATACCTTTCACTCCCCAGCAAACGGGGACTTTTCCCTTTCCCAGTGTAGTCAACAAGATGGAAGTGTCAGTGAAGAGAATTTCATGGTTCTGAAGAGCTTGTGACTGAAAGCAATGCCCAGGATACCAGAAATAGTGCTGAAAATCTAGACGACCATCAACCTAAGATAACCCAAAAAAATCAAAGTGATTTATTTCCAATGGGTGGTGGGGAAGAAGGTATGGGTAAAGGGTGGTGGTGGTTGTGTAATGCGGCATGTACACCAGCCACCCCCTCTCAGCACATCCACAACAATGGCTACCTCAGCCACCTACACACAACCTTCCACACGCTGTAGCAATTCTAGGAAAGTGTCCAGGACTCTATATGTGTATACATATTATAGAAGGAGGGGTGTTAATGTTGCAGTTTAAAAACTTAGTGTAAAGCACCCTCTGGCAAGACAGTGATGGAGTGAATGATGGGGAAAGTTTTTCTTTTTCGGCACCCTGCCTTGGTGGGAATCGCCAGTGTGTTAATAAAAAAATAATAAAATATTTTAGAACAACGTATTAACAACCTTTTTTTATTGTTGGGTTTGTGTAAACATGTTTTGTAAACAATATAATGATGATAATGTTTTGGCAGTTATTGTATTGCATACAACGCGTGGATATAAATATATACATTATACATTATATTGGTCTTACAGGCCACAAAATTTTCTGGAAAATATAAAATATTTAAAATAAAAAGAAAAAAAAAAGAATAAAAGTTTAAAAAAAATATTACTGAATGAGTCGCCGATGTTGCCATAAGGGTTCACTTTCTGTCAGCTTCATGCCTCTATATCTCGATAAGTACTGATTGCATTTTTTTTTCTTTTAAACACTCAGAAAAATATCTTAAGATTTTGGTAAGAATTTTTTTTTTTTTTTTTTGATTATTTTTCGACACTGAGAGCAGGTTTTGATCAGGGGGTTTGACAGTGAAAGGGGCATTACAGAATGTGATGAGATGGGACAGCCTCTCTCCTCACTTAATGACAGAGTTTCCATTCTTAAGACCACGTCGGTAAACGAATTCGTTGCTAAGTGAGGAGCATGCTATAATGGTACTGGGTAGTTCAGTCATCTTTGATATTATTTTAATGTCACCTTTGCAAACCCTTTATAATATTTCTGGGATATTTTTAAATGTTTAATACAGCACTAGTGTACTGTATATTTAATAAACAGAATAGAAAAAACCAGCATTTAAATACATTGTTTAATATGCAAACTGGACAGAGAGCCTGTCGTAAGTCTGAGTCATCGGTAACGAGTACGTTGGTAAGTGAGGAGAGGCTGTATAATGGTAGTGGGTTTGTGTCAGCTATCTTTGATATGTTTTAATGTCACCTTTGCACCATTTATAACATTTTTTGGTATTTTTTTAAATATTTATACAGCATTTGTATTGTATATTGTAATAAACAGAATAGAAAAAATCAGTTCTAGTAACATGTACATTATTTAGGCATGCATACTGGTCAGAGAGCCCATCATAATCCGGGGCGTCAGTAAACGAATATGTTGCTAAGTGAGGAGAGGTTGTATTTTATATGTACAGTGGAACCTCAAAAATCGAACGTATCACATATCGAACTTTTTGAAAATAAGACCATTTTTTCGGACAAACTGTGTCCCTAATATTGAACGCGCCCCTATTTTTTCGGACCGCCGGTATGGACCTGTCCCTGGCCTGCTCTGTCCGCGTCCCCGCGCAGGCCCATGAGCAGTCTAGCTTTGTTTATGCTTGAGTGAACACTAACCTGCGATCTCATTTACACACATTTTATGATTATTTAATTTGTTTTAGTGCTTGTGGGCTGTGAAATAAGCTGCCCTGGGCCCAAAGAAACTTGCTAGCGTACCCCTGTGGTAAAAATAGTGAGAAACACCATAGATTGAAGAAGGAAATAATACAGAAGTATGAGAATGGAGTGAGTCTTGTTGAGCTTGCCAGGATGTACAGAGGACTGTGGACAGTTAATTGTGAGACAGAAAAAGACGACTGTGGACACTTATTTTGTGAGACAGAAACAGACGACTGTGGAGTTATTTTGTGAGACAGACGATTGTGGACAATTAATTTGTGAGACAGAAACAAGACAACTGTGGACATTTTTTTTTGTGAACAGAAACAGACGACTGTGGAGTTATTTTGTGAGATAGAAACAGAAAACTGTGGAGTTATTTTGTGAGACAAACAGACGATTGTGGACAGTTATTTTGTGAGACAGAAACAGACGACTGTGGACATTTAAATTTGGGACAGAAACAGATGACTGTGGAGTTATTTTGTGAGACAGACGATTGTGGACAATTATTTTGTGAGACAGAAACAGACAACTGGGACAGTTTTTTTGGGGGACAGAAACAGACGACTGTGGAGTTTTTTTTGTGAACGAACAGACGACTGTGGACATTTTATTTTTGAGACAAACAGACGATTGGGGGACATTATTTTGTGAGACAGAAACAGACGACTGTGGACAGTTTTTTTTGTGAGACAGAAACAGACGACTGTGGAGTTATTTTGTGAGAAAAACAGACGATTGTGGCAGTTATTTTGTGAGACAAAACAGACGATGTGGATAGTTTTTTGTGAGACAGAAACAGAGGACTGTAGACAGTTATTTTGTGAGACTGGGTCCAATGACTCCAAGCGGGTCCTAGTGGTATTAAAATACAGAAAGGGAAGCAACCCCAGAGAGGGCTTTGATACCGGAAGTCCTCATGGAGGGGGATTCTCCTTCCCAAAACAATAACCCCAATTTCCCTCTCTCCTCCTCCCTATCTTCCAGATGCCATCAACAATCTTCAATAAAAGTAAGTAAAAATGTTATTTTATATTACTATACATAATTAAAGACTATAGCATTTGTTGTGTGTATGTAAAACTGTAATTAATCTCAAAAAAATGTATTTTTTGTGAATATTTTTGGGTTTCTGGAACGGATTAATTGTAAATTTCCATTATTTCTTATGGGAAATATTGCTTCGAATTTCAGACTTTTCGAATTTAGAACTAGCTCCTGGAAGGATTAAGTTCAATTTGAGGTTCCACTGTACATGTATAAATACAGTAATCCCCCTAAATTAGCAGGGTTACGTTCCCAGACCACCCGCTAATTTGGAAAAACCGTGAATTCTGGACACGGTTAAAAACAATACCTGTAAATGCCTATTTTTATAGTTTAAAAACCTTAACCCTCTCAGGGTCGAGATCCCTGGTCCTGACCCTTTGAGGGTCAAGAGCCCCGGTCCTTGACCCTTTGAGGGTCAAGAGCCCCTCACCCAAACTTGTTCTCAGGGTCAAAAAATATTCGAAAAAAAAAATTCTTATTAAATGATAGTTTTTTTTTTTTTTTTGCTATCAATATTTACCAAGATGTGGGGTGTGAAGTTGACAGAAATTGAACGGTTTACAGCAACATCGCCGACTGCAGGTTACATATTTTGTTTGTTTCTACTTTTTCTATTATTTTTTAATACTTTTTCTTTTCAAGTAATTTTTGTGGCCTGTAAGACCAATATGAGGACTATTATGTATATATTCTTTCTATACTACACAATAACTGCACAAACACTATTGTCATTATATTATTTACAAAACATGTTTACACAAACGAACAATATAAAATGTTGTTTATTACTATTTTTTCTATATTATTTATACACATATACAGTCACTGGACATGTTCCTAGAAGTTCTGCAGCCTGTGGAACTCTTTGAAACACAGTGTCATACACAATGGTGTTTTACACTCCTCACACATAAAACGAGTGTCCTCTGCGTTGTTGTGGGTGTTTTTTTGTATGTGCACAGACATAACACCTCTTCCGAGCCTTTTTCTTGAAGCAGTAGCAGGCAGTTTCATTAGGAATTGATCACCAGGCCTCAGACGAGAGGGTAGTTTGTGGATAATTTTCTATTGCACGTGTTGTTACTTGGTACTTTATTATTTGTCTGATGACAAACAAAATTCGCCATATGGTGGTTTGTTTCTGGTCCTCATCTTATACATATTTTAAGCATTGAGCATGGAAATGTCCAGAATATGGAAAAAGAGTTTTATGTACCACTTATAACTCTTGTGAACACAATCAGCAAACCCAATCTGCATGTCACATTTGTCCACTGAATGCATATTAACCCTTTCAGGTCCGTCCCATAGATCTACGGCTTTACGGTGAGTGTCCAAACCGTAGATCTACGCCATGAGCTCAGCTCACTCTGATAAACTGTGAGTGGTACATTTGGGCCTAGATATGAGAGAATACATCTATGTGGTATGTGTGCACCACATAAAACAGATCCTGCAGCACACTGTGTATAATGAGAGAAAAAACTGAAATCATGATTTTTCGATTAAAACAGCAACTTTGCAGTGTTTTTTTTCGTATGTTTTTTTATAGTTGTATTTGCGATTTCTTGGTCTCATTTGATAGAATGGAAGACATATTACAGAAATAGAGATGATTTTGATTGGTTTTAGCACTGAAATGGCTTGAAACTGAGCTCAAATTAGCGGAAATGTTAAATTTTTGCCGATATTCAAGAGTAAACAAACGACCTCACACGTCTAATACACTCAGTTGGTGGGTCTAATATACATTCACAAATATGGTGATGATATTTATACAATTATTACAGTATTTCATAACAGTAAATCTTCTATTTTTTGGTGTGAATAAAATTCATTATGTTGAATAAAAAATCAAAATGGAATTTATTTGTAAAGCCTCAAAACATAACTAATGAACAGAGGAAATGTTAGTTTAGTGCCAGGAATGCCTACATTGTTTATTCTGGACCCTATTTTGAAATTGGAATATTTTGAACTTTGTGTTAAATTGGCCAAATTAACAATTTCCCATCACTTTATTTTGTAGTTGAAACAGTTGACTGGCGATTTCTTGTGCTCAATCGATAGAATAGAAGTAATACTAGTGAAATAGCTAAGAATTTTGTTGATTGGAATAATGTAATTGGCCTAAAATGGGAGTCAAAGTCGGCAAAATCGCCGATTCGTAAATATCGCTGACACATCAAAATTCGCGAGAGCATAATTCGTCAATTTTCCACCAAATTTCGTACTTTTTGTTTTATTACCTTCACAAAAAGATTCTCTAACGATTTCATAAGAAAAAATAACAATTTTTTTTTTGAAAATTTCTTGGACACTGGTGCGTGACTCCAGATTTGGGCCTTGGACCCTGAAAGGGTTAAGGGTGTAGTCCATCACAACTGCAAGTTTTAGAATGGGTTCACTGGTCTCTCTTCTGCCTGCCAGTGTCTGCCATTTCGTTACGGTGAACTGATGACAACAGTGTGACATCTTGTTTATCATGCCACCGAAATGCCATGATGTCATTGGCAGCAAATGTCTGCACCTAACCTCTATGAGTGCCTGCGTTGAACCTAGGCATATGCTTACGATTTGCATGCACTGTACTGCACACATCCATCATGTTCACTCGCAAAAAATCACTGAGTAAGGGGCTTGTGTACCAGTTATCAGTATATAATATATGCCCCTTACAAAGATATGGTTCCATCATTGTTCTTACCACATCACCAGAGATACCCAATAACTTCCTGGTATCTTGCAGTGTATTACTTCCAGTCTACACAGTAATATCCAATACAAGACCACTGTAGCAATCACAAAGCACAAACAACTTTTTACCAAAGTGTTTCCTCTTGATTTGTATATACTGCTTGAACACAGTCAACCTTTGAGCAGAATCAAAGACTCGTCAATAACAAGCTTCCTGAAGGGATAAAAATACATATTAATTTCTGTTTCAGATACACAAACACATTCCTAATTTTGTATAACCTGTCTTTTCTGTCAGGCCTGGTTTTGTCTGAGAAGTGTAGCATACGTAATAGTAGCACAAATCAATTCACTGGTATAATATCACTGAAACCTGGGCTTGCAATCAGGCAGTCTGTCGACCAGTATGATTTACACTGTGCTTATACACATGTGGCATAAGCATTATTATGGCAAACAAAAGATACATCGCAGCCACAGTTGTCTCTTTCCACTGGTGTAGACATGATTTTGGTGAAAGTATTGTGTTTTCCATGGTGTAATCAAAGTATCTGTTGCTTTCCCTGACAATAATTTCCCATGGGGTTCGTCAAAGAATAACTCGTAACATTCCAGTTCAGTGGCATTGTTCCCAAGTGTACAAGATGGCTGTATTCCACTTTGACTTTCATCAAAGTCATGAGGATTGGGA